TATCTACAGAAGTAGCAGTCATGGCTCACAGCTATTCGACTCGTTGTCGCAACTTGGTCTTGTTGTCAGGACGACTTAGTAGTCGTCTGCCACAGTAGTTGTCTGGTACATTCTCAAAGGTACCAAGTGCTGTCAATTATGACAACTACTATGGCAGACAAATTCGGACTTGTTGCGTTCTCCCAAGTCGCCCTGGCAACAAGACCAAGTTGCGAAAACGAGGTCAACCCACTTCTAAAACAAATATTTTCCATTATTGGTCATCAAAGTTTTGATGACCACCATCATCGCCTTTTCATATTCTCTCCATCTCTCCAAATGTGCAATTTTTGATGAACATTTTCGCTTCATGCGAGCAGGAGAGAGAGAGAGAGTGAGAGTGATAAAAAGTATAGAAGTAGCCGTTGCTAGAATCGAATCAAGAAAAGATTTCTCCACGCGACTCGACACCGTCTCCATCCTCGAGTCTGTCAGTCAAGCCCAAATGGCTTTTGTCCAACTTTCTGCCGGTACGTTGCATACCAAAACCAGCAGAACGAAACTTTTGCGGCCATTCAACCTCGTGGCCAGTTTCTGTTCTCTTCTCAGCCCCTCTTTGTCGAATGGTCCGACACGTCATTGCAACAGAAAAGCGACCACCTGAGCCCACATCGAATGGCGACCTTTTCTGGACGATTGGTCAGCACTGTCTCGCCACAAGTGGGCACAACCGCAGCAGCTTTCCCACTTTTCCCATCCAAAATGGTATTCCTCATTTGCCCAGTGCCATTTTCAATCATACCCGGGCGATAATTATTCTCAACTAATGTTGCTTTTTGCATATTTCCCATTGTCGACCCAATCAAAAGTTGCTTCTTCATCCTTCGCTTTCCCATTTTCTGATTGGCCCCCTCGCCAATCGCCATTTGGTTGGTCGCTTCCCTCTGGCCAGTCCGTGTCTTGTTGCCATCTCGACATTCCGTCCCGACGCTCTTCTTCTCCTCCGACTCATCCACGTCGGCAACACGTCCCTTTCGCGCCAGTCCTTTCTTCCGAACTCCTCTTCCCTTTCAGGCGCAGCAACTGAATCCGCGCCACGTCTGTCCCTTTTCTCGTCTCTGCCTCACCAACGCACAGACGATGCAACGTCACCAACGCACCGGCCGCCCTCGAGATGGACCGGCAATCCGTGCCCACGACACGCCTCGTCACTCGCCTCGACCTCACATTCCACGACCCACTCCTGAGCCGCCTCCGCAACGCATTTCTGCAGGTTGCGCAGTCCCCGAAGTCTGTCAACCTTCACAACTACCCACACCACCTTCAGCTACCAGAGCACAAATGGTCGCTGAAGATTCAGGAAGTCGTCAACTGCCAGAAATACACACAAACTTCACCGCATCCGAAGTCTCCGGAGGCCTCCAAGTCCTCAAGACTCGTGGAATATCCCGAATTTTCGAAGCTACCACTAAGCCCACATTGCCTGGAGCACTCAAAGACCTAGAAGCTCATGGAATACCTCAATTTCCGGATGCATCCACGAAGTCCACATTTCCTGGAGGACTCAAAGACCACGAAGGTCATGGAATATCTCAAGTTCCTGAAGCTTCCACGAATTTCACGTATTCAGGAAGCGTCAAAGACCTCGAATGTCATAGAATGCTACAGTTTCCTGATGTTCCCACAAAGTCCACATTTCCTGGAGGCCTCAAATACCACGAAGGTCATCGAATATCTCAAGTTCCCAAAGCTTCCACGAATTTCACATATTCAGGAGGCGTTGAAGACCTCGAATGCCATGGAATACTACAGTTTTCTGATGTTGCCATAAAGTCCCCATATTCTGGAGAACACAAAGACCTCGAAGCTCATGGAATATTCCAAGTTCCTGATGTTTCCGAAAAGTCCACATTTTTCGGAGGACTCAAAGACCTCGAAGCTCATGGAATACCTCAAGTTCCCGATGTTAAAATGAAGTCCACATTTTCTG